CACACACACCACAGACGGCATACACCTCCGGTGCCCTCACATCAACCTACGGGAGGCGACTCGAGGCGGTTCGTGGGACGATTAATGGAAAGAGATGTCTCGTTCAACCGAAAATCGTTCTTTCTCCCTCTTTCACCTCCTCCTTCCCCAACGAAGAGTAGACACTTTCGTGGAACTAACTCGTCAACCGGTCTGTCACGCCGGACTCCGCCTCATCACCCAATCCACCTCACTTCTAAACCTCGTCTTCTTACGACACCAGTCGATTCACCTCTTTGTCGACAGTAAACACGTGTCTGGTCTCTTTTTTCACGGTCTAAAGTGTAGCGTGCAGTGTGAACAGAGGACGAGGTCATTCGCGGGCCTGGAGGGTCCTGCTAGAGGCAGGTCACCGAGCCTACTGTCATTTGCGTCTTCACTTCGTTGGACGTGAGGCGGACTACAACCCCCCCCTATTTTTTACGGTCTCTTTATTGGGTTACTGTTTTACGCCTGCTTTACCTGACACTAACACATACACACACACACACACACACACACACACACACACACACACACACACACACACACACACACACACACACACACACACACACACACACACACACATTCGTAGCCGGTGAAGTGCGCAGTCAGCAGCGTGGGCTCCCCAGGCTCCTTGGATGTGACTGATCCTTTATTGAGTTACTGTTTTACGCCTACTTTACCTCACACTCACACACACACACACACAGGTTTGGCATAAATACACACACACACAACTGCCAACTCGTTTGATCATTTACCCATCTCCCTAACCAAGGTCACTGTCTGTTTTTCTCTTTCCTCTCAACTTCATCTCTCTTTTTCCTCTCTTATTCCTCTCCCTCCCCTCCCCAGGGCTAATGAACTTCACCACGTGAAGACTGCCAGTCAGCGGAAGAGAGGAGAAGAGGAGGGAGGGAGGGAGGGAGGAAGAGAAGGAGAGAGACAGACAGAGAATACAATTCTGCTGATGTTTGGTTAATGGGAGTGAGGTGTCAGGGATGGCCTCTGATCTTTGCTGCATGGATACGTTGTTCAAAGACCACTGAAACAGCCCACACAGCCAAAACTCACTCGCGCACACACACACACACTCAGAGATTATCATACAATGGATTGACAGAATGACAGCGCTGAAGTGCTCTTTGAAACTCTGTTCAATCCACGATAAACCTATCTTGTGATGTTGCAGGTCGAATACAAAAGCCTGCAATCCACCAAATGTACATGCGTTTCATTTGCATGCAGCACAATCAATTGAAAATCAATTGCATAAATGAGATGTGTGATGCATGGCATTCACGTTGTCGGTGCCAGCACTGCTTTGTCAATATGTTCACAGATACCTGACAGCGTATGAAACCTTACCTGGGAGGCCCTTTGTGATTTTTGGATTCGATTACTGAATAATGTGATTCAGTATTAGAATACATTTACACCGGCGCGTGCACACACATACAAACTCTCAGTTTCTCTCGCTCTCCCTCTCCTGCTCGCTGTAGATTTCTGCTGACTGTTTGTCCTTGAGCAGTCCTCATTAAGCTAATGCAAACCTCCCTGACAGAGAGAACCAAACAACTGACGTTGCAGCGCCGTGGCAACGCGGGCCCTAACGACAGGGAGGCGGTCGTTATGCAGATGAGGTCCAGCTGAGAGCGCGGGAGGCCGCCTGGCTCGTTAGGCCGCGGCCCGGCAAATGGCTCGCTAATGTAACACTGCTTCCTGGTCTAATGGAGCTCTGTTTTGCAGAATTATTTGTCTTTGCTCTCCGCGGGAAGCCAGGAGTGTGCCGACAGCAAAGAGGAGAGGAGGAAGATGGGGGGAGACAGTGAGTCCTTATCGACCTGTTACTGAGGTATTTCTTTCTTCTAAAAGATTAGGAAATCCCTTTTTCTTTAAAAAAAAATAGGTTTGAATAAAGTACAGACACTAGAGTTTAAATCCACAGTGTGAATGATGACAGAGATGGATGGATTGGAGGGAAACTGAGTGCTTATTTTTGTGCCGTATTGACAGACTTTGTTTTAAGGGAATCGATTTGTCTGAGAAGTAATCATTAAATCATTCAATGTGACAAGAAATTCTCAGAAAACAGCCAAAACTTGACCTTTGAAGTGAACCTGACATTGTCTTTCAGCAAATGTGTGTGAAGTTGGAGAGTTTTAATTACTTTAAAATATGACTCAAGACACCTTACAAGTTAAAATTACATTTAATGGGGACCTTTCATGCAAAATGCACTTTTTTATGTCTTTGATACATTCATATGTGTCCCCGGTGTGTCAGGGAACTCAAGCAGCGTCAGAAAATAAAACCCTCTCTCTTTTCCTCCGTACCCACATCTCTAAAAAAGGGGCTACAACAGAGCTGATCCAGATTTGCGTCCGATATGACGTAATATCGGAAATGTGGACCCACGGCCCTAACAGAAACTTTGCTATCAGAAACAATGCCCGGCTGTTTTGGACGTAATATGGTCGGTGCATGTTTACATTAGCATCGCTAACACTCAGAGCTAACCTGTACTGCACAGAGCATGTGTGTGAAGAAGCAGGAAATAAAAAGGAACTCACCTTGTGGTATAACCGGCAAGAGAGAAAGCCTTTGAGCTCCATACTGTTTCAGAAATAATCCTTGATAATCCATGATATGGCGTTTCATCACGGCAGTATTTAGTTTAGACAGTAGCTGTAGCTGCCTGGCTCAGCCCCCTCCTTTTTTATTTCTTATAAATTATTTTATTTTTTAAAGCTTTACCCAAATCAGCACTTTTGAAACAGGAAGTGAAATAGAGGGATACGAGGCATGGCTAGAATGGGTGATCTGTTTAGCATGATAGGTGCACTTTAAATTAAAGAGAAGAGTTCGTTTTAACCAGGTCAAAAACGGACCCAGGCTATACAAACAATTTTAGAATGCCTATGTACTTATTTCTGTTATCTGACTAGACAAGTGCAATATTTTTTAACCAAATCCTAGAATTAACACCTAACTGTGTGTTTGGATATGTATTGTTTGAAGTTGTTTACAGCTCTGTGCAACACTATGGCCCAAGCTAATGTTCCCCTCGGGGACAATAAGGTCAATCTTATCTTATCTGCTAACAGTGTATCTTACTTCTGTCAGTGTGGCCCCTCTTGTTCTCCTTGCCGTACTCCACTGAGGTCCCATCTGTCTCTCGGGCCCCGTGCGCCACCCCAGGTGAGTGCCCCGAGACATTGTGACTTTGGTCATGTGGGTCTGAAATCAAAATGTCAAAAAGATCATAACTCACAAATTCCTCACAGGTTTTGTTCTAGCTACAGCATCGTTCATATTTTTCACTTTCACACAGGTAGGTACGTACGTGTGCTTTCTGCAGTGTGTTCTGTGTGGGACGGTGAACTTGACACGCTGCTGCTGTGATTAGATGACATCTGAGCTTCCTCCAATGATAGAGAAGGGGAGGGGCTGTCACGCACTCGCTCCTACAAAACAAAAAGAAAATATGATTAAAGTGACAAAATCAAATGAAGATAATGGCTGATAACAAAGTGCAAAAAATAAAAATAACAAAAACACAAAACATTAATCACACTTTACTTGAGGGGCGTTTCTTTCTTACAAAAACTTTGTATTGCCTTTATTGCCCTTAGATGCTGATTATTTTGCCTAAATAAGAAACTGAATCCTGTGTTGGATATTCTAAATGTATTGCAAGAGGAAAATGAAATGCACTATGTATTTAAAAAATATATACCTTTTAGTAACTATCAGTAAATACTTTATAGGGATTGTGCATCTGTATCTACTTTCTGTCTCTGTGTATACTTTTAAAATTACTTTATTTTATTAATTTAGACTTTATAGTTAAAACATCAATTACCAACATCATTTTATTTTTATTTCATTAAAATTACATTCAAACAAAGTACATTCAATTTTAGTTGAGGCTACTCAAACAATGATATCCGTGTAAATGCTGGTACTAAATCAGGTACAGATCATTTGGCGCTGATTTCAAGAAGCCTGGTACACTAACACCGGGACCCAGCCCAGAGTATGAAAAACAATGGTCGACATCGTTAAAATTACGACCGGAGGCGATACTTCCTGCAACTGGACCTGGTGCAATGAAATTTGTGTCAAATCATAATCCTTCCAGATCAGCTCTTTAATTAGTCTTAAGAGAGAAACCACTGAAACCTAGGAAGGTTTTTAAGCAAAGTGACTTTGCTAAGAAGGTCGGAGTTTCTGTCTTTATGCAGGATATCTCAAATATGTATAAAAAGATATGGGATGGGCCTTAAGCCAAAACACAACTGATATCATTCTGGTAGTGATCCAGATCTTGGATGACCACCAGAAGAAAATATCAGTTTTTTTGCCAAAATAGAAGACAAATAGAAACTAAATTCTGGATGTAAATGATCATAAGAGCCTGAATTAGAGGGATACAATCCATGTCTCTGGATTTGAAAAGCAAATTATTTTTAATTTAGTAGTGTCTTTTTTTTTAAAATGAGCATCCCATACTTAAAAACTTCTAAAACTCTGAGGTCACGTGATCTGATCCATTAGGACTCTTGGGCTTCACCTTAATGACGGAGGTGGGCCCCCGGGGGGGGAGCTTGGCGTGGAGCTGCGCCATGTTGGCCATGCTGGCCAGCGTGCTCAGTCGGTTCATCTGGCCCATCGCCATGGAAACGGAGGCGGGCGCCAGGCTGGCAGGTATCAGAGGATGTGACATCATCATGAAGGGCAGCTGATCCAGAACTGGTGAGGAGGAATACAAATACAATTAAAGAAGAGTAGTATTTATAGAGATAGAGTACATTAATTAGCTGTTGCTTCTCATGTAACAGCTAATCTCAACCAGTGGTCTGCATGGTGGGCCTCACCTAGTTGGCTGCCGTTGTACTGCAAATTAGTTATTATACTTCATTTAAAAAACTTTTAGTTAGCAATATCTAAAATTGCTAAACCATTAAAATAAAAAACATCAAGTTAAAATGCATAAATGATATGACCAGTTACGTTTCAATATCACAACGCCGCTCATAACATGAGAAACAAACACGTTGACGTTCACTCGGATGTGGTGACAAAAAATGATCAACAACAATTCTATTACGACAACAATTGATTAGATTTCATTTAGTGCAATTTTATACATTAAGAGCCCCGCTTATAATTTCTCCTTTTTTTCTTTAGTTGTGTTATGTACTTCATTAGGGACGGCCTCCTGTTACAAAAGATTGAGACCTCCTGTCATTGAAGATCAGACCAGCAGCTCTGTTTTAAGACGATCAAAGTTGCACTATACATGCAGCCAACATGAAACAGGTCAGGCCTCTATCTTCTTTCATTTTTGCTTCAGTTGTATTTACCCAGCACTACTTAAAGGCTCTGCTCAGTCCTGTGCTGTGTACTGAACTGAAAGCCCCCAGCTTCTCAAATGACAGGATTGAAACTGGACACCAATGTCATTCTTCTGTGATGTCAATATTACCTGGATGACTGCTCTGCTTCCAAACCACAACTCGAAAATATGTGTGTGTCTCGGGGGTTAGAGAAGTGGGGTGGGGAAAAAGATAAAAGCAGGAGGAAACAGGAGGAGGGGGGAAGAGGACACCGTCTCGTCTTGCTCATTACAAGAGAAAGATGTTAAAACAGTGATGGCCTGAATGTGTTTTTGTGATGCTTTAAATGTCACCTGCAGAAACACAAACACAGCCTCCCTGGAATGATGAAAAACTGGCTAACAATGCTTAGCTGCTTTCAATGCCCCGGTGCTCTTGACGGTAATCCAACACATTTTCAGCGGTTCAAACCAAACTCTTATTATCTTGGCCAATCTGTTGTTCACGCTCCTCTCTTTACGACAAGCATCCACTATCTTTAAAGAAAATCCCTTCCTCTCAACAGCACCCTAGTGGGTTGTTGCAGTCCCTCTATTCATGAAACAAACAATCCGGTTTGTGGGGGAGAAAATGACATAAATATTTATCATTTAATAAAAGGAAAAACAAAAACAAAAGAAACACAGGGAGGAAGTGGAACAAAAGAAGCTGATGGCAGTCCTGGTGCTGGGCCAGCAATGCACGCTGGGTAATTATAAACACAAAGGGAAAAAAACTTGGATTCTATTCCGCACAATTGTCACAAATAATAGAACGAGTGCATGGAAACAAAAACAGGCTATCCAATGAGAGGGAGATGAAATAGAACAAATAATGGAGGGAAAGGGAAGAAAGAGGGGGAAAAAGAGAAGGAGAAAGAAAAAAGAAAAGGCAAACTGAGAAATAAAGAGTGAGGCGTTGACTTTATGGGTCGGGCTCGCTGGACATATGTGCAGTGCTTTGTGCATTTGGCAGATTAGTCTCTCACTTGCCCAGAGCAGAAACCAATCCAAACAAAAGATCTGTCTGAATGGAGCTAAATAACCAGATGCTCCGACAATCAACCAGCAGCCAGCTCCAAATATTAAGCCTTGGTTAGAAACCAGCGCTCCACTTTTGTCCCCCCCCCTTCCCCTCAAAACCCACCTTCTCTATAATTTCATTTTCACTCTCTTTCTTAACTCGCCCCCCCCCTCCCCCCTCTCTTCACTTTCTCTGCCCTCCCATCACTCTCTCTTATGTTTCATTAAAAAACATCAAAAGTCAAAGTGCCTCTCTTATGTTTATCCAAACAAACCATTACTGTAAACAAACAGTTACTGTAAATTTCCCAGAAGATCTTGTTAAATACAGAAATGGTTGCTCCCCGCTCTTCCCCAGCCCATAAGGTGTCACACTCAGCATTTGTGAGTGTGTGCGTGTGTGTAATCTGAGATTGCCTTTGTAGTGGTTAAAGCTCTGGTAGGGGCCTATCCTTCCCATAAGGCTGTGGGTGGCGGTATGGAAAAAACACATCGTTCTTGTGTGTGTGTATGTATGCCTGCCCTGTGTGTTTGCATGTGTATGTGTGTGTGTGTGTGTGTGTGTGTGTGTGTGTGTGTGTGTGTGTGTGTGTGTGTGTGTGTGTGTGTGTGTGTGTGTGTGTGTGTGTGTGTGTTTCCACTTGACTCTATCGTTAACAGTGATTAGGCTTTACAGGTTTATAATGGCTGGTGGTAACCATGCCACCTAAATGCGCGCAGATGCTGGAAATCGTAACTGAGTGTATACAATGGTAAACAATGCTTAAGACTTGGAGTGTTTACTGACATGGGTAAAGTAAAATATTTACTACAAACACAAACACACACACACACACACACACACACACACACACACACACACACACACACACACACACACACACAAAACCAGACTTAAACATACAGTGATGTTACTTTTGTCTCCTTGTAATTTCTGAAAAAACACAAGGACACTTTCCTCCTTTCCATTTCTGTCTTTAAGCCTTGCAACCTCATGTTAAGTGTGTGTGTGTGTGTGTGTGTGTGTGTGTGTGTGTGTGTGTGTGTGTGTGTGTGTGTGTGTGTGTGTATGCGTCCCCAGGTTGATAGCGTATTCCACACAGACCTCCATAAGCCCTGTCATCTGTCTAAACACACTGATGTCGCTTTAACCTGTCGATAACAGTGGGGGCGGTGCGTCCCGTGTGTGTGTCTGCGTGCCGGCGTGTGCGTGCGTGTCTCCGTACCGCTATCGATTGTCCAGCATTTGTCGTTTTGCATTCAGGATAGTGAATTAGAGAGAAGACTATTGATTTGGCTTCAGCCTCTCATCTTATTCATCTCTCTATCATCCCGGTGCTGCTCCACTTTACCCGGCTGCTCTCATTTACTGCAAAGCCAGGGATCGGTGCAGTAAAGGGACCTGTTTCTAATATTGTATGACTAATTATTAAACCTGCACAAGAAGCAGAAGGGATAAGAAAACTACTTAAAATAAAGACTGCTCTTCCAGTAAATCCTGATCTAATGATACTTAATATGAAAGACTAATACCAGGTTGAGCATGAGTAACAGAGGTTTGGGTTTACCTTCTCACGATGTGATGACTAATATATACTAATGATTTTCCGGCAACATTTTAGGGATTACCAACTGTGTTTTTCAGAATCGCACAATTTCACCTTTACAGGCATTTATCATAGTCTGGAAAATATATAATGAAACAACGATAAAACTGTTGATTATCAAAAAACATGTCCTCATGCTTTTTACATTTTTATGGCTTGGATTACCTGACCATAACGTTAGCTAATTGACGTTATTTAGGATCCCTTATTAGTAGTTGGCAGAACCATCTATTCTTCCTGAGGTCCACATTAAAGTCAAGAAAAGACATTAAAACATCAAATTCTTGACAATCCACAATATCAATAAAAGCAAATAAAATAAAAATAATGAGTCTCTCACACTTAAGTCATATATATGATACATGATTAAATCAAATAATAGAAAAAGTGTAATAGATGTATACAAGTATCTGTGACTACTAACTGTGTACCATTGCAAATAATAATTAATAACCATAATGATAAGTCATTTCATTCAGGCTTAATTGGTTACTCCCTAATAATGACTGTTTGTTTTTTGATCCTGAGAGTAATTTAATTTAAATATAGTGGTAGTTTATTCCAGTTTGAAATTGCCCAACACATTAGAGTTGTTTTTAAAGCAGTGGTTTAAGGTAAAGGTAATGTGAAGAGTCCCATGTTTGGTGCCATCAGATTTCCGTTTCTAATTTCATCCCAAGAACTGACTCATTGCTGCTGTTTTTTGTTTTTATTCGGCGTCTCTAACAGGATATGTATCGGCAGCGGGGGTGATGTCACATCCTTGTTTTAATCAGCTTGGTTCAGCAGCCGCTCACAAACACAGCTGCTCGAGTCGTATTTACTTGGCAACACAGATTTGTAGAGACAACAATTGTGCGACGTGTTATACGACCGTCATTAAACATTTCGCCGAAAGCATATGTGTGTGTGTGTGTGTGATGACCCTCACCCAGTTGGTGGCTATGGTCACCGTTTTCTCCGTTTAGCCCGCCATGTTGTTGGTTGCTGTGGTAACTGGCCAAGGCCTCCAGTTTGATCTTCTTGGCCAGGGCAGACAGATCTGAGAGGGAGACAGATATAAGCACAGGAAGAAAAAGAAAAAGGAGGACAGAAAGAAAGAAGAGGAATCAATAAGAGCCAGATCAATGGCCCCGGTGGAGGATTAGAGCAGTGGGTAGGCAGGAGGTTGTCATGGGAAGACAGAGGCCAGCCATTCATCCTGACTGCACCGCTGCACTGGCCATTTAGTCTGCCAGGGAATCAGCAGTGATAGGAACAAGCCAAGACATTCATCTCTCCCACACAGGGACATCACATCCCACAGCACAGCACACAGGATGACACTCAGTAGCGGCAGCAGCTCCACCTCTCAGACAGAAAGTACTTCTTTATCAGTATAAATTAGAAGCATTAGAAAAAAAATGGAAGATACATTTTAATAGGGGTTGTGCACTTTCGGATAATGTGAAATGGAGAGTGACAAAATGTGGCAGGAGGGCTCAGCCACATTTTAATTTGTGTCTTGAACCTCAGAAGGTAGTTTGACCCACAGATAAACCTTTAAAACTCTATCTTATGCCGTAGAAATGAAAGATCTCTCGCACTAATGCAGACAAACAGTGATTTATTAAATTTGGACAAACCACGCAACTGTGCAAACACGACTGAAGATATGCAAACAAACCATAAGTCCTAATTTCCTGATCTTGGATACATCCAGACATTTGCAACACACTGATCCGCTGAGAGTGCTTTGTTACACAATGGTTTTATAAGCATAGTCTGTCCATCCAAGACGGAGACAACCACAACAAATTGTTCCTTTTCTTCTCATCTTCTCTTCTTCTCTCTCCCGCCCTCTTCTCTGCTCTACTCCCATTCCCTCTCCTGACTTTACCTTTTCAAATGTCAGCATCACAGCGGGACATAAGCCATCGTGTTGCGTGTGTGTATGTGTGAGTGCACAAGGGCGAGAAAAAGAGACTAAGGAGGATCACATCAAAGATTTTCCCTGCCTTTTACGCTCAAATGTCCTCCCTCTCTCTGTCTCTTCCTCCCCTCTCATGTGGCCAGCTCTAATCAGTAGCGCTGACATTGCCGCCGTGCCCTCTCCTTTGGTGGAAAAAGACTCTTTTCCCACTGAGAAAGATGCTCTTGAACACTCACGCAGGCACAACACACACATATACACACACACTCAAGCACCTTTGAACAGTGAGAGGAAGCGGAGCTAACAGAAAATGGCTTCTTTTGAGGCGGGGAATGAAAAGATCAGGTTGCAGTGAAGAGCACAAAGCCAAGGGCAACTTTGAGAGCGGCGAGGTGCCAACAATTACTTTTCTCCCTTTCTCTGTGCTGCACACACACACACACACACACACACACACACACACACACACACACACACACACACACACACACACACACACACACACACACACACACACACACACACACACACACACACACACACACACACCACACTAAGGACTCTAACACACAACTGTTTGTGACAAGAACAAGCAGCAGCACGGCCTTTAGCAAGTGGATGACTAAGACTGCTAACAAATTTAAAACAGACGCTAACCTACGAATAACAAAACAACAACTTATCTTTTTATCTGCCCCCTGAAAATAATTTAATTATCTTAAAACTTAATTTGATGCTTGAAGGGAAAATCAACCTGCTTGAATGTGGAATAGGACATTTTTGGGAAAACACATTATAATTCCCTTTTTACGAAACAGGGGATTTTAATAGCAAGTTTAAAATTGAAAAAGAAAAAAGTTTGAGAGGCCTAAAGATTTAGAATCTTGCGCAACTCAACAGAGGACTTTGTGTACTTATAATTCATGAAAAAAGGCTAACTTGCAAGTTATGAGTTGTTTCTCGTGTGTCAGCAGTGTGTATGCTAATTTTATTAATCAACACACAGGTCGCCTCCCAGATCCCGCCTCCTCATGGTATTGATGAGTGGTAAAATGTGTCATTATGAGAGTCTGCGGAAAAAATTTAGTGCTGAAGCAACATGCTATTTTCTTTAAACCGATGGAGAAACTCTCTCTTTCCAAAAGCTGAAAAGAGATTAAATCTCAACTTTAGCAACAGCTCATCTAAAGGACTGAAGCAACAATATGTCCCTAATTTACAGTTTAAAGCCGATCATGGAGCCAAAAGAAGATTTCTACTGTGATTTCTGTACAGTTTTGAAGAATTGCAAACATCAGCCTTATTAAAAACAAAAAAGGGGGATTTAGAGACCCAGAAAGGCTTTCTCCTTTAAATGGATATGTGATGATACAGAATAAACTGGCAGGTTAGTTAAGAGGAATGGGCAATTTGTATGCCAAATGAACGAAGTTCTTTATCACAAAAGCAAATGTTGTCCCAAAAAGAATAGATATCTATTACATATCACATTTAAATTAAATGATGTATATTTCCACACATAAAATAATTGTATAAATATATAATTCGTTTTTTTCTTCATTACATCTTTACGTTCCTAAAATGTTCTGTTTATAGACCACTTAAAATATGTCAAATTAAAGGTTATACTTGTGTCCATCAAGTTTTTTTCCTAAAAGTATATTAGGGAAGTGTATATTTTCTGCCTTATGATTTTAAGATGCACAGTGGACATCATAGTTATATGGTGTCATAAATGATTCCTCTTATCAGCAGCAGTTTGGTATGTCTGTGTGCCTGTGTGATATTGTTTCTACAGTACACATGTGCACATGGGGCGTGGGTGGTCACCTGCAGGAGGTATGATCCCAGCATGCATCAGACCGCTGTGGGACAGCATGTGGTGCGTCCCGCCCTCTGTCACACACTGCAGCCTCTTGGGCGGTCGTCCCGGCCTCGAGCTGCAGGCAGAAAACACAAGTTAACATTAGTCATTAGAGCACTTTAATACTTAATAGTCCCTCAGTCAGTCTGTTTTTCCTGCTGAGGCTGAGTTGGGTGGCCTGGTTAGAGTAACTGCCCTTCAGTCTGTAAACCTCTGATCCTGCTGAAGTGTCAACAAGCAAAAACACTGAAACCTGACCGGTTTCAGGAAGGCTGCTCTACAGCAAATCTGACCTCCCTGTGGATACGAGCAAGCAAAAAAGGAGTTTCCCTATGGCATCAATAAAGCACCTCATTACTGTTCAGCTTACTCATTCATTTGTTTGCTTATTAAATGTGTTTTGCTCGCCTCCTTCCCTCTCTTCTTTCTTCCTTAATCTGGCCGTTTTTCCCCCGCTATGTCACAAATTTCCTCAATAAACATTGCGACTACAAACAGATTCACATGGTTTGATTGAGCCGGGTATGCTCAATCAATCCTAGAGGAGGTATGTGAAAAGCTGTCAGACATCACTTTGGCTCTGACTAAACGCTGTGAATGTCCTGACAAGGGAAATGACACGGGCCACATCAGGCTTAATGACAACCAGCGCAGCTCATCTCCTCTCATACCAGCTTGACATTGGATAACATGAGTCCGTGGGCGATTGTGCATGTGTCTGAGATGTGTGTGTGTGTGTGTCTGGGTGTGTGTGTGTGACATTTAAAGACAGTGACAGAACGAGGGAAAAAAAGAGGGGCGAGAAGAAGGTGTGACAGAGAGGAAAAGAAACAGAACAATAAAGATGAGAAGGGAGATGCAGGGGAAGATGAGGTCATGTAAAGTGAGAGGAATATGGAGGGAGAGTCCGAGAGAGTGAGAAAAGGTGGGAAAGAGTACAAAAAAAATCAGGAGAGATAGACTAGCAGCAGCATCTTCCTAGCGTGGGGTGTCTTTGAGCAGATTTTAATTAGAATCTAATCCAGCCGTCATTAAGGCCCCATAAACGAAGCTGTCAGTCAGGAGATTAATGGCGCCTCATTTGCATATTGCATATAATTCATCAATTACCCAGCAGAAAGGACCAATCCCCTGTTGACACACCCACTGGCTGAGAGAGGGGGGGAGATGGGGAGAGACAAAAAGACAGAGAGAAAGATTGTGCAGTCACTAACTGTGTGAGAAAAACAGGTAGCTTGAGTGAGTGTGTGAGAGCGCACACCGGTGTGTGTGTGTGTGTGTGAGTGGTGTGTGTGTGTATGAAGTGTTCAAAGGTTAATTTGATGAGCCGATGAGCTCCACAGTTCCTGCCCTCAGTTTTAATGAGTTGTTATTATTGTCTCTTATTATGGGCCCAGACCGACTGGGATGTGACAGCTGACATCAGATATCACACACACACACACACACACACACACACACACACACACACACACACACACACACACCCCCCCTTCATCATATCGCTGCTGACTTTGACAGTGAGTTATGGGATGGCAGTGGGGCTCGGCTTTGAGGAGTCCACCTTCCCACACATACACACAACGAAGCTGCCAACTTGCGCGGCCGATGTTTGCCACAGAGAAACACAAAGAACGGGCTTTTGTTGCACTCCGCTTCGTATCATTTATCATTCCACTAACTTTTTTTATGCAAACTGTTATTTCTATGTTAATTTACACCTGCTTCACATTTGATTGTAAATGTCCCTGGTGGTAGGAGCAGCAACAAAGCATGTGTGAACTCGGGTCAGTTTCTGACATCCCTTAAAGGGTCAGTCAACCTACATTACAAGAAACATTTCTGACATTTTGCTTTGTTAGGTTTGAGGTGAAGAGGTTTTGGCTTCCACCTCAATATATAAAGGTGAGTGAAATGTAGTTTGTGGTGTTAGATAATTCCATTTTCAAAAGCTTGTTTTTTCCAGAAAAAGTGTCCCTGTAATGCTGGATAACTATGACATTTTTTTTACCGTTTTTCTAAGAGACCATTTCTTTAAAAGAAGGTGTAACGAAAATCGAATTCCTCTGAAAACTGTTACCTGTTCTCCAGAGTAAAATGAAAACTGTTTCTGAAAAAGCACTTGTGCTACCACAAATGAAATTATATTCACCTTCATTTTAAGTGGACTGAAATCAGGTATCTTAAAGTTGCGTTCCTCAAAATGAGGAAAAAAAAATATATATTTGGAATCAACCCTTTAAAATATCATTACTTATAAAAACAAATCTTATGCTATGTTTCAGGTGTTAGTAAATAAAATATGTTAATAACACGTACAAATGCAGCAATGAGTTGATGTTACACGCTTTGTTAAAAAAGTAACAAGAGATTTTATTACCTGGCCACATGACATTACTTTTATGTAACAATGTTTTGGTTGGGCATTTGTGTACTCTGCACAAAGTTACATATATACAGTATATATTGTAGATGCACACACACAGTTTGACCAGAGCGAGCTGTTTGATGTGATCCTAACAGAGAATGAAACTGTTCCTTTGTGAGGGAGAAAGAAAGGGACGGAGGATCAGGTTGCCTCTTACACGCCATGTTCTCTCTGTGGAACTAATGTCATTTAGCAGCAAAGCCAGCAAACACACAGGCGTGACTGTGTAAGTTTGTGTGTACAGAGATGACAGAAGGAGTGTGTGTTTGTCTGCCACCTATTTACGAATTATAACTAGGCTCTGAATGAGGGTGAAGTCGGCCTTTCTTTATGGTTTGATTAGTCAGTGGTGTTTGTACACAGCAGGAGTGAACGACTGAGTTAAATAGGATAAGGACAGATAATGATAAACATTTTCATAACCTCTATTTCGATTTAATCTTAAAAAAAGAATGATTAACAAACATAAATCCATAAGATTAAACAGTGGGAGTCCATGTAAAGGGTTGTGTAAGTCATGTTAAACTATCAGACAAGGCTGTTATTTCCTGCAGGCTGTCTGACTGTACTCAACTGGAAAATAATAAGTGATGGCTGTCTTAATCAGTAACAAAACCCTCACTGAGCGCTAACACTGTCAGAGAGCCGTAACATCATGTTCTTGGAGATAACCCGGCCTTTAACGATAACCATCCTAAGTCCCGCTCTTTACCTGCTACTGAATGTTTCCTTATCCACACAAGGGATTACTTGGAAACTTCTACAGCAGAGGGCTGATGCTAATGGCCACCACAGCACACTTGAAGCCTTCAGACAAAGAATCACGGAAGTCGTTTGAAGATTTCAGACGAGTGATGTTTTCAGATCTCATTAACTAAAGCCTGTTTGAGTGTTGTGTGGATAATTAGAGACGGCGGAGGCTGTGTATTTTCAGCGGTTGTATAACAACGTTCCCATTAACACCTGACATAGAAGAAATCCCAAAGCAGCCAGAAGATGCATCTGGATGTTGTCTTGGTTGGAGGGCTTCAGATGCTTAAGAGCAGGTGTTAATCCATGCACATGGAGCTGGGAGCTGAAGTTCATAATGATTTGTTTCTTTTAAGAGAGTTTATCGTTTTTCTCAACAAGTCAAAGCTTGAATATGAAATCCATCTTTAAGCACCTAAATGATATAACCTACACCAAAGAAGATATAGGGAATACATTATTAAATATTTTCTTTTGGTGTCTATCTTCAAACATCTTGACACATCCTCTTTCTGCATTTAATGGCAGGTGTAAATTGGATCATTCATGCTCCAAGGAGTAGGGATTAACTATCAAACAATATAAATTCCCCAAACTAAGGCTAATCCACACTCCTTTGGATACAAACCCATGCTGTTATGAGCATGTGGTCTGCACAACAGCAGACTGAGGCACCAGGAAACAACAAATCCCAGCCAATTTATAGCCCCTTTATCCAAACATCTCTGTGGCGCTTTGGATTGATGACCCATGTAGTTGGTCACATTCAGAGTTCTGCAAAACAGCTCATTTACATAATCGCATCATAAATACCGAGAATTCATTTAATCATCTCCTCTGTTCTGATGCTCAGGGCTAAAGAGTGTTGATATGATAAGACAGCAAGTTATTAAGGAAGGAGAGAGAGAGGGAGCGGGAGAAAGGGAGGCTGAGAGGAGGAGAGAGAGCAAAGGGATCAGGGAGTGAGTGAGTGAGCTTGTCCTGATTTAAGCTGCCGCTTGGGGCCAAATGAAAATTAATTAATTTCTGTGAAGAATCAATTTCTCAGAATGACAGTGTCAGATTCAATGTGTGCGAGTGCGAGAGTGTGTGTGTGTGTGTGTGTGTGTGTGTGTGTGTGTGTGTGTGTGTGTGTGTGTGTGTGTGTGTGTGTGTGTGTGTGTGTGTGTGACAGAGACTCAGTGAGTGCATGCATGTCAGAGAGAGCGAGTGATCATAGCCTATGATAACGTGACAAACTTTTAAAGATTTTTTTTATTAGGATTACTAAAATTCATTATCATCAACACCATCATCTCCATCAAAGCTTTTATCATCTGGTAATATGGTAATTAGGAAAAGGCCTAGAATCAGTGTGGAAAGTAAAAAGGAGTCATCTGGACCTATACTCTCAGTCATCTAACACTTGTTAAAAACGAATCATATTTATATTGATATATTCATTTATTAAACATTCATATTTCCCATATATTCCCCAATTTACATGTTTAACAGTGGCCTGTAGAATACACCAAGAGCCTTCAATCTAAAGTCCCATAGTGCGGTAAAGTCGTGAAATATTTCAAAAATGTTGGGATATGAAACAAAACCCCATAACCTATTTGCAAACTAATACATAATTATCTCTGACACGGAAATTGCAATATCATTTCAGAATTTCTTTGATGGACCTGTAGACTGTTCTCAGATAATTTTATGCAGAAGTAGAAGTCCCCTAAATGAGTTGTTCACTGCCCTTACCCCAGCTTCAGATAACACCACCTGCTGCAAAAGGACCCTTAAGATAAACTCTTCCTCAGCACCGGGTCACCCTGTCTGTCTCCCCCTCCCCTCCTCGCTCACCTTGCGTTGGTGCAGTCGCTGTAGAGCGTCTCGAAGTCCTGTCTGGAGATGAGTTTGCACCGGTTCACCCCGGGCTGGATGGCCCCGAGCCCCCGCAGCACCCGGACCTGCTCCACGTTGCACACCACCGGGGCAATGTCCAGCCGTTTCAGCTTGGTGTAGACGGTGTGGAGCCCGCCGACCAGGTGCTTGAGGAACACGTCGAAAGCCTGGGGCAGGCAGATGAGCTCCGTGTCTTTGACCGTGAACGAGGCCAGTTTAGCACCTTTCACCTCCACCAGTTTGCACTCGTTGTTCTGCGGCGTGCTCTCCACTGGCGACGGGGTTGCGTACACCGGCTTAGCGCTGCTGGACACCGGGGCTCCTCCGCTCTTTAACTGGGTCCCGTTCGCCAGCAAGAGGTCCGCGTGGAACTGGTGAAGCAGCGCCGGGTGCGCCACCGGAGGAGCCGGGGAGGAAGCGGCGGAGGGGGTCGCAGGTGGCGGAGAGTTGGTGACCGGAGAGACGGAGCTCGGAGCCGGGTGGTGCCCGAGTGTAGCGGCGGGAAGAAGAGCCGGGGCAGCCGGAGTTGCCATGGTAGTCATGTCGGAGAAAAATCTAACAAAAGTAAACTTAAAGTCAACTATGTTAAGAAAGTAACTTCGCCGAACAAATGCGGTTGTTTTGCGAGAGGGTGTTGCACATGGAGTGTGCCGAGGAGGAGAGGGGGATAAAGGAGAGGAGACAGGGTCCGTGTGAGTGTAAAAACAGATCACATAGTTGAATGAGAAAGAGAGGAGGCTTGTCTCCGAGCTGGAGATGCTACTGTCACATTATCATAAAGAGGTGGAGCCTGGGTGTATTCTTAGAGAGAGCGAGAGAGAGAAACATGCAGGTTGAGAGCAGAGGGAGAGAGCAAAGATTAGCCTACATAAACTTTGGATAAGCCTATTTATTAACGCCTAACGACGCTTTAATATTAATGCTTCTGATGGCACTCAATCTGTCTTCTTTATAGCACTTTTAAACCTTGTTGGCATTACTCTAATCTTCCCACTTCGTTTGTGACTAATAGTTGTATAATTGCATTATCTTTGAAAATTATGGCTTAATTGCTGTAGTTATGTGTCTTGAGAGCAAATATTCTCCATGTTTACTACTAATTGTGATACCATCAAAGAGAGTTTTATAGCAGTGATTTAAACTTACTAAGAGTCTTCCACAAAATATAAAATCATATTTAAATGTTATAACATGTATGTATACAATTTGTACAAAATTACATCTATACATTCTTACCAGGATCTTCATGGTCCATTATTATTGTATAGATTTGACTTAAAGGCTTGGCTTGTGTAAGGAAAGTAGGCTGTACTTCTTATTTAGAATGATTTATTTTAAAATGTCAAATACGAAATACAAAATATGAATTATCCAAATATCCATATTTCTTTAATAAATGAAAAAAACTAAATATTAGCAAATCCTTCAAATGTGCCACAACAGCTGAATTAAAAAAAACCTTAAGGATGCTTTGCCTTTTTTCAAGTAATTTCTGTTGCACCTCATTTCTGCCGGGTGCCCTTTTTGTCATTAATGTCATTTTATTTGTAATTAATTCCTTTCAAAATCAACATAAATCAGGATCTAAATTGAAATCAAAAGGATCCAAAAAAAGAGTGTAACCCCCGCCCCCAACAAACCGTTATGTGGGGGGTGGGGGAGGGTTAATAACCTTGTCTTGACAAATTGACCCCTTTACCTGTTCCCTGTACTGTTTCCTCATCCATTCCACACACACACACCACACACACACACACCATTTACATACGGAGCTCGCAGTCCTTTCAAAGTGGCTTTCACGGAACATTGTGCTGATAATGATCTCGGTCATGAGGGAGAGAGAGACACAGATCTCCAGAGACCATCTCACCATAAGACAAGGGGGAAGAGGATAAAACTCCGACTGTACTCCAACTCAAAGGACTTTAACACTCTTTTCCTCCAAGCCCCCCACCCCCTCTCTCCAATAAGCCCTCTTGTGTTTTTTAATTGGCAGAAATTAATCTTTAGGATGTAGATGGTAGATTTACATTCATTAAAAGTCAAGAGAGGAAGCCAGGCTTGATGCTAATCAAATCTGCTTAATTATGCTTAACATGAGTATCTCCAGGGGAAGAGAGAGAGAGAGAGAGGGGGAAAGAGAGAGAGATAGCTAACTCGAACTTTTTACTTTTTGCCTTTGATAACTCCTGCTGAGTATGGCCTTTTCCTTGCCAAAAAGAAATGTCACGACTCTCTTTCCCCAGCTGTAGAAAAATACACCGATAAAGCCATGTGTTAAGCAGAGCTGATTCACATTGTAAACTCCCACCTTTAATAATGTTCATTTTTAACCTCCCCGCTCAGTACACTGCAACTTTAAAGGCTTGTTGCACCATCTGATAATAAATCTATGATACAGTTAATAAAAAAGGTGGCATGATCAAGGGCATGATGAGTAATATGTCAGCCTAAAGAAGTGATTATAAATTTAGATACTAGATTTGGTTTAATTTTTCATTTTAGTTAATCCATCCACAGTCTGCTGAGCAACATGAGTGTCTATAGGTGGCAGGATGGTGGGAAGTGACTTTGTCTCACAACAGGAAGGTCACAGGTTTAATTCTTACAGCAGCTATTGTGCTTAAACTGCCATGAAATGAAACAATGAAGCGATACTTAAAGTAAAATCTCCCCAGTTACTGAAGTATAAAAATCTAGGGTACCATACAGAGGAGAAATAGGCTACTATAACTGTGGAAGATTACACAGGAACACCAACGATTTACATCAAACAGGTCTTGTATAATATTATAGCATATGCGAAAAAAAAGTTGTTCAAAGCATTTTATGTCCTGAAGTGCCTCAGCTGGTGTCACTTGAGTCAATAAATATTGGTCGATGACAAATTCATACTCCCTCCTAAAAGAAAAATATATCTGGATACAGCTCTTCTGTTTAAACAGTTCCTATTTATCTTGCCATAGTGCCATCCGAAGCCAAAGAGATGGAGATAATGCTCATGTTGTGTTGCTGTTTGAAAGCCAAGCTCTGGTCCTTTCCACATGTCTGTTTTGGCCAGTGAGCAGCAGAAGCATGAGGGAAATGTGTAGGTGGTTAGATCAGCCGATGAAGTGTAAATACCACTCAATCTGTTCTCATTAGAGGAGTAAAAACATACGAATCACTTCGCCTCTATTAAAAATGCCCCAGGGTCCTGGTTAAGTGTGTGTGTGTGCGTGAGAGAGAGAAAGAAGGAGGGGATGACAGAATTATGTTTTGGCATTTGTGTCTGCAGAGGGGATCTGAAATGCCACCACCATCAACGCTGCTTAATTCTCAGAAACACACACTTAATCTGAACAGACAATCCGTTCCGACAGCCACTGTTATGGTTCAAATCAACTTGGAGTGAAGGGTGTGTGTGTGCTCTTGTGAGTGAGAGTGTATGTCATTGTGTTTTGGTATGTGATTAGGTTTCTGTGTGTGTGTGTGTGTGTGTGTGTGCTCATCTCTGAATGTGTGTGTATGACCAAGATATCACACATCCATTCCACATTCTCCTATGATAATGTGGATTGATTATGGATATGATAATGAGAGGCCAGCGCGGCGTCGCGACCTTCACAAGGTCTAATTGAAACAAGCGTTGGTCCTCCGAAGCACTTATCAAGTCACACAGCACATCATTAATCACGGAGAATACAAGCTGTCAGCGTAACACACATGCACACACACTCATTCTCTATTTTTCAGTTTTTTTTTATTCTCACACACACAAATGCTGTCTCTCCTGTCTTTTCTCTCCCTCTCCTTCTCTTAAACACACACACACACAATGCAAGCTGTCACTACAATATGCCTGGCATTGTCTTCTTTTAAGGAGAGTGGACAGCTAGTCCACCCTCCATCTCTATTTTGTACAAGAAAAGTTGGAGAACAAACAAGCTGTTTGAGTTAAACCTTTTAAAAAAAACACAACAGAGGGAATGTTAAAACAATTCAACAAACACAAACAGCTGTTCACTTCATCCAAACTCGCCTGAAATTGAATTAACTCAAGTTGTTTTATTACCTGCTTTTATTGGGAGACAATTTAACAACCAAATGTGATTCCAATGTCTGATTAAGGCAGCATATGGTGCCTACCTGTTAAACACAACATGCTCAACACCAGCTTAACGCCTCAGTGAGCCACTCAAATAAACTAATAAGCCCTATATCATATTAGTCATTACATAGTCCAACACACACAATTCCAATCTGATAAAAAGGTGGTTTCATTATCATCATAGGGAAAACACAAGGGAGTTTGCATGCGCAGCGTTGATGCCATCACCAACTTTGTTAATTGTTATTCAATTAACTGCTTTTGTTAATGAAACCAATTAATACTTTAAAACAAGCAGGAAGATGTATGATTACTATGCATCTATGCAGAAGACGGCTAATTGCAACTGTAAATCAATCAATTCTACATTAATCAGCTTGGAAAATTTCCAAAAATAACAAAGTCACTAAAAGACTTTGGAAGTTTTTTCTTTTCTTTTAACATATTTTGATTGCCATGCCATTATCCCGTCTAATGATTGTTAACGATCCTTTAAAGAGTTTATGATCCAATTTCCTTGCTGTGAATTTAATTGGGACCTAAATAGTATAATCTAACGGTGTTAAAGTGTGGCCTGTATGTAATCAAGGGTGGTGTATCGGAGTAAGATCTAACAAGGTCACAGAATTCCTCTCAGGGCAAATACAGCCAGTGAAGCTTCACATTACTGAAGGGTAGAAGCCATATAACACTATTAATAAATCACTCTGGTGCTAGAAAACAGACATAAGTATACTTTTAAAATGTACACTACACTCAATTGGTTTCAGGACATTAAGAATATGCTTCTATCTATTTATATAGTAAGTCATTTATTGTGAGTGGTAGAAGTATTTAGATTTTTACTTGAAATAAAAAATTCCACAAAAAAATCCAGTCTTGCTTTAACACTTGAACTTTAAACAGTATGTAAGATTTAAAAAAGAAGAAATAACACAATATACTTCCTACAAATTAAAGCAGCATGGTCTGTTAAAGCTGAAGTTAAAGCTGTTAAGGTTACACCTGGCCGCCGCGGAGCTAATTTAACCTATTTTTTATACGGTTGAGTGGTTAAATCTAGAGTGTAATGATGCATCATATTTAACATATATATCATAGTTTTTTTTTTAACCTCATTAGCAAAATAACTGAAGCTTCCAGATAAAGTAAACAGCACTATAATCCCCTCTGAAATCAAATGTATAGAAGTAGAAAGTAGCACATTGAAGTAAAGTAGTAACCTGAATTGTAGTTAGAACTTAAAAAGAGTGTGCTTAGCCAACATGAAATTATCAGTAAATACTGTGAAACATTTGTCAGACGATGTCTTTTTGAACTTAAAACTTTTGAATCTTCAAATCAAATCTGTCACAAATAAGTTCCTCCCTGAAACACGACTCAAGTTTTAAATTGTCATCACACCAGAAATAAAATCGTATAACTTAAGATTCTCGCCTGAAATTATCATAAAACTTGCAGTGAAATGGACATAACAAACAAAGCCTTGTTTCTTGTCTGCGGGGAGACCATTAGACCTGCCTGTTTATGGCTAATGGTAATTAGTAACCTAAATATAACAGAGCACGCAGAGGTCTTTGACTCTTCCTTAAACTCTCCTTCTACACTCTAGTTGTATTCATGAGACACTTTAATTTAGGGGATGTACAAACATCAACAGACCATCTCTCCTTATGCACAAGGAACTTCTAATCAGTCCAGTCTAATTATTTTTCTAAATCCATTGCGCACACCTGGACTGCAATCTTTCACTTTTAAATGAGACTGCCCTCATTTATCAGAAAAATAATCATCGGCCTGGATAATTATCAGACATACAAACATAAACACCTTTAGAAGTTCAGATGCGAGGACCTGCTTGCCTCTTAAGTTAATACAGTCATGTGACCTGACCAGTGGCCTAGTTGAACACCTCTTAGATGTTTATGCATATTTGGACGCTAATCTCTCAGTCAGGACTATGGGATTTGAGAATATTTTGTTTAATAGAGATCAAAGTAGCCGGCTAGGATCAGGAGAAACCCTTCAAACACATCAAACAGAGAGCAATACATCCTGAATCCCACGCCCACAGTAGCCAATCAACCATGCATAACTCTTTGTAAAAAAGAAAAAGGATTCTCAAGGTGGGTCCACCTCCATCAACATCTCCTGCAGCTCACCCCCCACGGAGGCCAGGGGTGGTTCAGGCTCACGAGCTATCAAGGAGAGCCACTGCACCGTATCTGTATGCCTCTCATACTTGGCTAACACGATGCTAGTATTGAGGAACAGAGAGATACTGTGTTAAGAGATCAAAGCAGCGGTACAGAGATTTAGACTCACGGCCTGTCAGTCAAGATGGCGAGACAAAGCAGAAGAAGACAGAAATGCTTACACACACACACCCTCTCCGGCTCACTCGCTGGCTTTCTCCATAGTGTGCCTGTGAGGGGTGAGGCGTGACTGTCAGATGGCTTAGGGGCTTTTCATTTGTAGACATCTACAGCACTGCGTGAACACCTAAACTCTCACACACAGGGACACATACACACACATATTCAAAAACCTACTGATTCAAGCCCTTTTGGATGAGAGGTCGCTCCTCGCCTGTATATTGGCCTGTGGAGGAATGTTCTGTGCTCTCAGCATTTTCCCTCGTCTCGAAGATGAATAGAGCTATTTCACAGACGCTGGAGAAAGAAAACAATGCTCTGTGTGGTTAGACACATGATGTAGAGGCTTCATTTCTGGTTGATCAAAGACGTGTTTTTTTGTCAAGTTTGCAATAAATCTCAAATACGTTTTGGTACGTATAAAATGCGGACATAAAGGGGGTAAGATTTCAGTTCAACAGGACATCCTGCTGTTGAGAATGACCCTTGTTCATTTCTTCTCTTTTGTACATGTTGATGTGATCACCCCTGCACAGTTGGTGTTTGTATCTTTGTCCCTTTCACCTAGTGTGACAGGAAGGAACATTTCCTTTGTAAAATCCTTCAGAAAAATTCAGGTCCAATTTGAAAGCTTGTAAGACTTGCATCGCTGGGGGAAAAAAGCTTAGCAATATCCTACAATGGGATTTAGGCAACATAGAAAGAGACAACCATGTCATGGTTAATAAAAAAGGGAAAAATAAAAAGTACCTTATAAATTCAATAAATTGCCTTAAACATTGGGAAACTACGAGTTAGGAAACTTTCACAGTTGCAACCGAACACCAAATGATCAACTGTGCCTCAGATAAGAAAAAGAATGACATCACACCACCTTGTGGCCGTTTGACTGTAACATTTTAATTTAGACTTTGTTCCATCATTGATGGTTTAACGGACAATGGAAATAACAAAAGGTTACGTTGAAAATGCATTATGGGCTTACATACAATTAAAAAACATTCATAACAAATTAGATATTTCAAAACGTCAAAAACATTTCATCATGAAAAGTGCAAGTTGAGAGTCAGAAATTAGAAGAACGCTCTTGAATGAAGGCAGGATGTCAATGCTAATACCATCTCGATCTTCCACTTGCAAGCAAATCTGAGGCAGAGCATGGCCTCATGTCGGGGGATGACTTGTGTTTAGGCAGAGGACTGGGGTTGATACCTCCACAGAAATACTCAGACACAAGTCAAAGCAGGGAACAGGATCAGTCAGTCACTGAAGAGGCACCGAGGACTGAGGGCCAACTCACAGACAGGTCTGAGTGGCTTGAGAGCCAGGAACAGGGCTTCCTCCCCTTAAAAGTTCATACTGAGGCTGCAACATCAGTTAGTGGAGTTTTCAGAAGCCTGAAAGAAAAAAGAGAGTGGTAGTGATGCATCGTGATGATTTGATTTTGATAATAATCAAATTACCCAGGCTTTATGGGAGGGCTACACCTGCACAGGACACAATTCTGAAGTATGTGAGGAATTTTCCTCTTGCATGGAGGACATGACATTTCCCGACATGACAGTTTTTCAATAGTGGCTGAAATCTTTGTCTTATGATTGAGTCACTCAGAAGATGAAAGCCACACATTAAAAATATTACCAGGCAAATTAGTTTAGCATGAAAACAGATAGTTCACAATGCATATGGTCACATAAAACAGTGAGATGTGAAAAAGGTGGCAAAGTTTCTGTCCAGCCAAAACAAAAGTTATTTGTTAGCAGTATGCTACCAAGATATGCATGTACAATTTTGTATTGTGTTGAAATACCCTTTTCTGGGAAATCAAGAATTAGTTTATGGCTAGACTAGTCAGACATGAATTTCTTCAAATCTTTGTTCTTTTTAGCGTTATCCTGTACAGCACCTACACAATAGAGTTGCTTTGCCTGATACACCTGAGATACTCAAGAGGGATACCTTAGTATCCATGACATGGAAGAATATCATATGACTGACCCATTTTCTTTTGTCATATCAACTTATCCTGTACCATCCAACAGGAAACATTCACATTTAACAGCTTTGTAAAACGTTTTCCATTAGAGAAGAAAACTAGGTTGGGATGCCATAACGATTATGAAGACAGCAGCTGTAGGCATCTCAACTTTCAGTCTCACAATACACTAGTTTCAGTGCTGGTGTCAGCTGTTGTTTTGAAAGAGATTAATCATCTGAACAAGAGCTGAAACTGATAGTTGAATGAATAAAAAGCTGCCCAGTAAAAATAAATGACGGTTTCAATAATCTATCAAATGTACATAATGTTATTAATAAAACGTTCCCTCATTCATATTGCAAATTGAGTATGTTTTGGTTAGACAGTGAGAGGTATTATACAACACCAGATTGAAGTCTGGTTATTTCAAATTGGTGGGACTCACTCAACCTTAATCCATTCGTAATATGTAGAAGTTAGCTGCTCAATTGGAGCCTGTTTCTGTACCTTGAGGGTTTCAGAAGCTTTACGTAGTTCTTTGATGACTGCAGACAAAGCTTCTGGGTTGATGCCCTGCTCACACAGTCTCACACATATGGACAGAGACTCCATGTCCAAACCTGTGTTCAGCAACCTGGAGATCTCCAGTAGCACTGTTTGAGGAAGAAAGTGACAAGTTACCCTATATAATAAGATGCAATAAGGATTTTACATTATCAGCACTGTTATTTTACTAGGTGAAATGTCCGATGTATGTTTCCATGGTCAATATGATGAAGACACCTACAGCTAATAGTCTTTAGGTGACTTATTGATGTTACACGCCTTAAAAAATACGTATTCTAATTTGCGCGGAAGCCCGTTTTCTTTACTTTTAGACATTTGTTTTTAACCATTCAGACTGCAATTGAAAGATATATCTCTCTTCGTTATTTTGCATATCAAAGTTCGAAGATAGCCTTCACCAATACCTTTCATTGTTAGTTTATATAAAGAAAACAGGGAAACATAGGGATGGATGCCCTATTATACACCAATGCCATTACAAACGAGCAAGGAGTTATTATGAAAGCCACTTTATTTGCCACTGAATTTAAAGCCATCTAATACATGTAATATACATTTACCGTCCATTGTCTCCCGGACTGCATTTAAGTTTGCACTTGCTGCACTTGCCATAGTGTAAGAGTGAAGTTAGCCAATGACTGCAAGCAGGAAGCTAACAAATACGACTGAGAGAAGAGGTATTTGACGGGAAATAAGAAAACGTTTTCAAAACAGTTCAGTCCGACTTTAAACGTTTCGCTGTCATTGGAGATACGTCCCCCAAAAATAGACACGGTCAATTGTTTTTAATAAGAAATTGTAATATTGGGAGCTAGTTAGCTTGCTTGCATGCTAAGGCTATGATGCTAACTCACGGAACTGGAGGAGGAAGTGACGACAATTGATCATTGATTGGTTACCAGCAAGTTCCTGCGACGTTTCTATTGGCTAGCGGACCCTATGGCGAAATTGAAATAAACGTTTGAACGCTGTTGCTGCTGCTGATTGTTTGTCGAGTCCTCAATGAAGATTGTTTTTTAGCTGTTTGTTCAACATTCTGGATCGTTAACAGTTGTAAGTGACAACGGCAGATCTTTATCTTGCTCATATTTCAATATACCTTTCATATTTTAGTATAGTGTTTTTTAAGAAAGAGGAGGGAGGAAACGTGAGACCAAATTCCTTGTACGCTAACGTTACTTAATGCTATAGAAACAGGGAAATGTAGCTAACGTTAATTTAACGATGTTAACTCATCATAATCATACATAGAGGCAGTTATTTTAATGGGTTTGATCATGTTAATGTAATGTCTGTTGTTTGCTTTATGCCGACTGGTATATTTCAGGTAAGATGGGGGACCATGTTGAGCTACAGATCACTCCTGAGACTCCAGGCAGGCCTTCAGTAAGAAACCCCTTTGAAAGTCCCAATGACTACCACCTCCTCCGTGAAGCCCTGGTGCCAAGCCCATCTGTCTTCAAATCCAGGTCTTGTTGTAAAGCTGTAAGTTTAACACACCTACCCCATCACCTCAAACCATTTGGACTTAGTACTTGCCTATTTGACACATCTCTCACTGCAAATATCCAAATACTGTATTATGTCCACACATTTTGCTCCTCTGGTATGTAGTCTTTTATTCACTTCCTCATCTGTCTCTCTCTTAGACTCCACCAAAGTTTAACTGGTCAATAGATGAAATGGCCAGTCTTCTCCCAGCGCACATAGACGCAGAGGAAATTCAGCGACAGTCTTTATACCTCAGCCAGACAAGGTATGTACTTGAACACAGCAGGTGCCAACGTAAGTTATAATGATGACACAACTAAAATAGTTTTTAAAGGGTTAAAACATCCTAATTGAACCCATGTTGTAGTACAAAATGCAAAAAGCAAGCAGGGAGTACTTGCCTACCCTCCCCCACATCGAAAGGTAACTGCAATTGTTAGTTAATTGCTTCCTGTTCACGCCTGCATTGAGTATAAAATCCACAAGTTAACTTACAAAGCTGTTCATGGATATCTCTCAGACACATACAGTACACTGCCCTACCCTCTTTGCTTTAGTAACCTTCCCATTCTTCACCAATACTGCTGCAGGCTGAAAAAAACTATAGCAAAACCTTCTGCTGCAGTTTCTCAAACAATCCAAGTACAATGTATTTTAACAAATGTATTAATTCATTGGCAAATCTTTTATTCTAGGATGGATACTGACATTGAAGAAAAGCGTCAGAATGCTATTGAACAGGTACGGGACTATAATTAAATTGCTAATATTGTTAAATGATACTTCATATATTGATGATTTCTTGACACATTCATTTTTCTGTCTTCCAATAAAGTTTTTTACCAAAGAAGCAATCGTGCCTTCGCCCTGGGCTGCACCAAACACCCGTAAAGTCGCTCAGATCTATACCAAAAGTAGGTTTATTATTGATTTTAACTGCACAAAGTCTTTTTATGATCATATCCTTCTCCCTGTTTTTGCCTTGGGTTTGGTTTATTACAAAAATGATGTTCAATTTACTTTATTGTGTCTTCTTGTAGGTTCTAAGTCTGCAATGATTGAAGAGGAGCCGGAAAAAATCTCAGGTTTGTTTCTTCTTTAAGGGGATTCAAAAATACTTTCTACAAACAAACATATCTCTCTGTCTTTTCTGCAGTATCTATTTACTAACTTTTTTTAAATCTTCACTATGTTTCTTTTACAGTTGCTTGTCAGACAACTCTTTCATTACCTTTGGCTTTTGATTTGGAGAAAATACTAGGTAAACCTCTAATAAATGCACGCACAGTCATATCAGACCGTGTTATGAGAGAGTATTTCACCATCAAGTTGCTTCTTCCTTCTCCTCAGGGGATTATTACCGCACCGATGAACCATGTGACGCCGTGCACGAGAGTCTCAGTTCCTCCTCCTTAAGAAGGAAACTCTTCCTCGATGGCCAGGGTGCTTTCAGCGGCTCTGACAGCTCCTGCCCAGAGAGCCCGGAGAGAATCCACACATCGCAGGGGAGGCTCTCTCTGAGCCGAGGAGGAGGATCTGCAGGCTCTGAGAGGGAAACTGTTTCCTCCATCTTTGCCTCCCCTTTGTCCTGTGGGGTGTCGGCTTCTACTCCCTCTACGGTGAGTCAGTGCCGAAGTTAAGTGATGCAAATGTTAATATTTTAAATAATGAGCTTTTGCTTATTTACTTACTGCAAAAGAGTACTGTAGATGTTGTTCATGCTCAACACAGAAGTCTAACATCACAACCAACAAGTGTTTTTAGCAAAGAAGTTTTTTTATATTTCGATCAAACTGTCAATTTAAAGGCAGAATGAGTAAGATTTGTCCGCTGCAAACACAACAATTTTCTAGTGTCATTTTGAATTCATGCTTCACATCCGGCACCTGGTTGCTATGTTTTTAAAGTTGACGCCCAGAAATGTCCCAAACTCAGCAAATTTAAGAAAATGCACTCCAAATGTAGAGCCGCTGTAGATACAGTCAAACACTTCTAGTGAGACATAAGTATTGATTAAGAAGGATTATTTTTTTCGGAAAATTAAGTAAAAATGTACACCGTTTTCTTTACTACAGGGTCAGTTCTCATCGAGTCCCATTCAGAATGGCCGCTTCCGGGACTGCAGCCTCGGAAGCATCACCAGTCCTCTGTTCCCGGACAGGTCTTCTCCTGCCGGCCTGGTCTCCCCCACAATTTCTCCCATTGTTTCCCACGCAGTTTGCACACCCATTTCTTCAGGTAGGGTATCTGATTTGTGACTCGTACCGAATATAAACTTTGTATGATTGGGTTTTACTACTTGAGACACTGGGGTAATGTTTACTAAGTTTCTCTTCAAACTGTGTTCTTTCTTAAGTTGAGAGGAAGAAGCTGGGCACTTTGACTCCACTTGGCGTTTCCCTGGACATAAATCTCCCTTCCTGCAATGTGAGTCCATTCGTGGAGGGTTGCTCTCCCATTCGTAGCTGCTCCCCCCACCAGCTCCTCTGCCACAATGAGTCTCAGCACAATGCCAGACCTAAGCTCCGACCCAGAGTCCGCTGCCTGGCGTCCCCTCCCCTCATCTCTCCGATCTTCAACCCTAACCTCCAAGACAATCAGGAGGCTGAGGACCAACTCTCTTTATCCCCCCCCTCCTTTGCCTCGTCTTCCTCTTCTCTCCCCATTATGGAGCTAGATCCATCTTCACCACTTGCCCACGACGCTCACTCCGCTGCCGCTGAGAGGGTAAACCTGGATCCTATGGAACCTGTGAAAATGGACGAGGGCAAGGACTCAGAGATGGAAGGGAGGCTGGAGGATGAAGAAGAGGAAGGTGGATTGCTTTCGGGACAGCTGACCAGCTCTCGTATGGGCAATGTGTCGGCAATAGAAGGCTCTCCTATGTTTGTATCTATTCTGGCAGAAGGGAGCAGCATACCCTTCGATTCCAGCATGCAGGTACGAGGGTGCAATTTCATCCAGTTAGAACTGTGAGCTACTGTCTTCCCTTTTTTGATTAGCATTTAAAAAGACATTTGAACCCATTTTTTTCCTCTTACAAGTTTTGCTTTTTATGAATCTACATTGTTTTGGTGTGAGTTGCCAAGTGTCAGAGATCACAGCTGTAAAGATGTCTGCCTTTCAAGAAATCATGACCCAATATCTCCAATATTTGGCAACTTGCACCTGATAGCTTAAAACTCTACAGGTTTTAAGTGATCTGTAAACAAATTATTTGATATAGACTGCTTTTTTGTGCTTGCAGGTAGACAGTGGGTACAACACTACCTCAGCGGGCACTGCCAGTCTTATAGATGGACTCGGCTCAGACTGTCATGGCAGAGTCCTTCAGTTCGACCATTCCAGAAGAAGCCTTCCAACCCCCTCGACACATTAAAGTAAAGGTAATTTAACCCATGAGCTTTTCAGTGCCTGCTCAAGTGTATAAGTGTACCTTTTTCACTTCACTAAATGAATGTTTCTTCTTTTCCAGGCATTTTATCCTCACCACTGAGCCATTTAAAGGTTCGCCTCTTCCAGTGGAAGCTTAAGACGATAGCAAAGTTTACAGTATATTTTGAAGCATTTGTTGCTTTAAGGTGAATGGGGTCAACTAATCAATGCAGTATAAACTGAGGGGTTTCACAAGTGAATGTTAGACTAGTTAATAGACTAAACGTTTTCCACAGTTCTTTGGGACCTGGTATTGTATAATGTTGTGGTAAGGGGGAAGAGAAATAAGTAAATTCTGTATCAAACTTGCACAAATACCTCTGTAATGCTGGATTCATGCTGAAGTCATAATTTCAGTTTTGTTTGGTGCCAACATGATTTCCCAGATTGATCCTGAGGTTCTGATGACATCAGATTTGTACTGTACTTATCTCTTTTTGTTTTAAACAATATACCATGTTTTTTTACAAGCTCTTTCTTGTTTTGAACTAATTGTTTAAATTCAGGTTACCTGTGCATCTTATTTGGATTGTCAGAATATTTATTTCTGAATAAGACACATAATGCCACTAGTTAATTCAAAGCCTATTGAGCCATACTTAAAGCATGGGCTGTATCGTTGTCACACAAATAAATTAACTTGAACTCTGTCTGCCTTAACGAGTTATGTGTTTCTATTTATTTTGAGTTAAAGAGATCGTCTAAAAAAGACATACAATTCTATACTACCAACAATAATTAGAAAATGCATTTTAACTGATCTAAAAGTTCTAGATCCAAATTTGTTAGACTTTAAAAAGTGGAGAAAAAAAAGAAATGAGAAGTGGAGAATATAAGTTTTATATTCATTTTGATAGGGTAAGACTAAAATGTAAAATCTGTCACATTGATAAAGAATGCTTCAAGGCTGCAATAACTTGATTTTGTCAGTGTTGTAAAGCTC